GGTTGAGTGTCCGACTTCGGCTCAGGTCAGGACCTCACAGTTTGTGAGTTCGAGCCCCGTGTCGGGTTCTGTGCCGACAGCTCAGAGCCTGGAGCCTGTTTCAGATTCTGTGTCTCCCTCTCTCTCTCTGCCCCTCCCTTGCTCACACTCTGTCTCTGTCTCTCAAAAATGAATAAACATTAAAGAAAGAAAGAAAAAGAGAGAGAGAAAGAAAGAGAAAGAAAGAAAGAGAAAGAACGAACGAACACTGAGTGACCGGAAACCTAGAGCTGCTGAGAACTCCCCACATCTGCCCCCATCTCTTGGCCGGTGCTCAGGCCTCCGGAGCCGGGCATCGCGTGCTGCCCACACTCATGGCGGCTGTTGGCAGAATGGTCTACGCCAGAGACCCATGGCCCACAGAGGCAGAACACGGGTCTATTTTGGTTGTCCTTGCCTCACTCCCAAGCCTAAGGATGGGCTCCTGCCTTCCTGAAGGGGCTCTGTCAGTATCGTTAACCAGCTAGAGATCACCTCCCGGCGGACCGGCCCAAAGACACCACACAGGAAATGCTGATCATGGGGAAGGGAGCTTCTCCCCAGACCGGCCCTACATCACACAACCATTCCCTGGCACGCTGAAGCCTTGCCCGCTATCGATCCTGAAGAAGTCCAGACCACAAGGGAGGGAACCAGGACTCTCACACCCCGATGGGGACCAGACGGGACCAGCCTCAAGGTCTCGGTGTCCATCTGAGCCCCGTGCCCACCTGCCCGCCGCCAGCCCCCCTCTGCCCCTGCCTCGGCCCCCAGACGCGTGCCCTTGACTCCCAGCCCGGAGCCCGGCTCGCGGTCCCGCACCAAACCCGCTCACCTGCTTGCTCCACCGAAAGGAGGACGATCAAGAGCACAGCTGGAATCATCTTGGGCCGGAGCTGAAGCGCGGCGAGCCGGGGATCGGAGGCGCTGCCAGCACTGTGCAGCTGTGCTCAGCGAGTGGCTCCCTGACCACAGAGTTCCCCCCTTCCTGCCCCGCCTTCCCCCAGCTTCGGCCCCTTCCCCTTCCTGCATTAGAGCCCGGGCGGCTCCCGGAAGGGCCAACGGAGGGAGCTCGATATGGGCTCTCGCGCCTCAGGCCTTCAGCGACCAGGCCCCTGCCACCAGGGGAAAGGGGGACTCCCGCACTTGAGAAAGACCGCGTCCACCCGCCGTCACCCCCGCCCTGTTCAGATACATCTGGAATAAACCGTCCCTTCAAATTCCCTGAGAGCCCACCACAGCCCTTTCCCTTGCACATGACGCTTGACCCAGGACTTGGGCAGAGGCAGAGGGGTTTACCAATTTGTGTGGGCAGCGAATTCTGGGTAGGGGGGAACCAAGGGGAAAAGAGGAAACGGGGAATGGAGAAGTGGGAAGGACAAGAGTCAGAGAAGGGGGTGGCGAGGAACAGGAAAGACTGCCAAGAACCGAGTCTCAGAGAGAAGAGCAGGGTTAATTAATTAACATTCTTGAGTTTCCTAGCAAAGTGAAAGGCAGTAAGATACTGAGGAAGACAGGTGGGCACAGGGGCCGGAAGGCGGCTTATTTATTATAATTTCTCCTTTTCTGGTACATGCACGGAAAGCCTGACAGCTAAATGTTCACGCACGTGTACACACACACACACAGAGTCCTTTTCCAGAGACGGCCAGGCTCTGAGGAGGAAGCAGACCGGCAGGGAGATCAAACGCTGTTCCCCTGCTCACCGATCCACTTCTCCGAACACAATGTCTTGGGTACCTAAGAGACCGACGGGAGGAGGAAAAACGCGGTGTTATCCAAAATCCAGAACCCATCACCGTGCCCAGGAGACTGAGGATGTGGCTCTGGGCCCATTGTCTGTGCTGAACAGGAAGTGTTCGCTTTCTGCCCCCAATCAGAGTCCCGAACTCCCTCGTCTGTGGCATGTCTGTTACAAGACAGGCCGCGTACCTATGATGGCAACAACGTCCGCCAGCATGTGTCCCTTTGACATCTTGTCCAAACCGGCCTGGAGAGATTGAGACAGCAACAGTGTTAGGCAAGATTAGCAGGGTGGGAGGAGAAGCAAGGAACGTGCGTGAAAATCTCAACCAAGGTCAGAAATCACGGACTCCTCTACTGGAGGGAGAGTCACCGGGGTCGGTTCTTACCAGGTGGGCGAAACCAGGAGCCTTGATCTTGCATCGGTAAGGGCGGCTACTGCCATCGGACACCAGGTACACCCCGAACTCTCCCTGTCCAAGGAAGAAAGGTCGCTGCCTCCGTTAACAGGAAGAACGCTCTCCTCTGCCCAGAAAACCTCTCTATCGGCCCGCGTGTCCTCTCTCGCGCTGGCGACCAAGCAGCTACTTGGACATCTGTCTCCGGTCCCCCAGCGCACAGACAGCCTTATCCTTCCCCGTCCCTCCTCACCTTAGGAGCCTCGATGGCAGTGTACGTGGCCCCCGGGGGAACCTGGTAGCCCTCTGTATACAACTTAAAGTGGTGGATCAGTGATTCCATGGAAGTCTGGAAAGAGGAAAAAGGGAGGATCGGTAAGCCGGTCCAAAGGTTTCCCGGGCCTCCCCCTCCCCAGCACAGAAAATAACCTCTACCCTCGGGGAAACGAAAACCCACACAGCGAGCGAGGAAGCAGAGAAGACAGAGTGACAGAGGAGGCTACGGGAGGTTGAGACTCATATGGCGAATTCTTGCAAAAAGGAAAACTGAGGAGGAGGAGGTCATCTGAGGGTACCCCTCCCTGGCTGCTGGCCCCTTTCCCTTTGCCCTCTTCCCGGGGCCAACCTTCATCTCTGCTCGCTTAGGCGGAGACACTTTGGCATCATCGACCTTGATCTCCCCAGGAGGCATCTTGTTGAGACACTGCAAGATGATTCGAAGGGACTGGCGCATCTCCTCTACCCGACACAGGTACCTGGGGTGGATGAGACAGGCTCAGAGCGAGAGAGGACCGGTCAGGGCACGGGACGTGAGGCCGGGAAGGACGCCCGTGGCTGACCCGCAAAGGGCTGGCTGACTTTTTCCCCTTCCTCTTCTCTCCTAGTGCGGGATCTCTGCTTGGCTTGGCCCCAGGTAAAACCTACAGTCTTCTGGTTCCGGTACTGGCTCCTGCCCCCTGTCCTCTCCTGATCTTCTCCCCCTACCGTGCCCTGCAGTACTTCCCTCTTCAATTGCCCTCTTAGACACTTCTTGGACCGCAGAATGGGTAAGGGTCAAATTGACTCAAAAAGAAAACAAGCAAATCTCATTCAGGGTCAGCAAACAAGAATGGAACGTGAAGCTTAGACTCTGGTGGCAAGAGCCCCGGGTCAGGAGGATTCTAGTCTCAACCCCCACTAACAGGATAATCCAGGCCGATCGCTCCCTTTTTTATGCCTCGGCTTTCTCAGCCAAAACTAGTTCCATCCAAAACACGAGGATGAGGGCAAAATGAGATGTACACCCGTGAAAGTGCTTCAAGAAACCACCTTGTTTAACAGACACAAGAGCTCCAGCAGATATGGGAAAATATGGGCATAAAGAAAGTAGCCAAGAGACAAGTCAGACGAGGGGAAGCAGCTGGAAAACGAGCCGAGGGGACATGGGCCTTACCTGTCGTAGCAGTCCCCTCGAGAGCCTATAGGAACATCAAAGTCCACCTGGTCGTAAACATCATAGGGCTGGGTCTTCCGCAGGTCCCACTGGATGCCTGAGCCCCGCAGCATCACGCCACTGTGGGGCACGATGGGAACAAGGGTCACTTTCCACAGACCAAGAGAGGAGGCACGCTTTCTTCCGCCTGCACGCTCGGAGCATGGCCCAGAAGGCGCCACACCTTCCCGAAGCCAAGATATCAGGCTGGAACTACCCCGTGCCCAAGGAGAAAAGTCTTTTTTTTTTTTAAATATTTATTTTGAGAGAGAAAGAGAGAGAGAGTGTGTGCAAGAGCGCAGGGGAGGAGCAGAGGGAGAGGATCCCAAGCAGGCTCTGCGCTGTCAGTGCAGAGCCCGATGCGGGGCTCGAACTCACAAACGGTGAGATCGTGACTGGAGCCAAAACTGAGTTGGACGCTTAGCCGACCGAGCCCGCCCCCCCCAGGCGCCCCCTAAGGAGAGAAGTCATTCCTCCCACCTAAATCCATAGTTAAGTGCGTCTTCGGCTGTTACGACCCCAATGTCGACTGTCCGATTTCGCCAGATCCTGTTGTTGGTCAGCATCTATCGATCAAGAAAACCAGCGCGTGAACGCCCTCCACACCTCCCTCCAAATGCCTCTGTATCTCTTTACAACTAGGGACTAAAACCCACAAGCTGCTTCGGCAGCACATACACTAAAGCCCACAAGCCTTTCTTGAGAGGAAAAGAGGGACTCTTCCTACCAGTTCCTACCTTACCTCTTCCAACTCATCAATCCGAAGTGAGAAGTTCTTAGAAAACTCATAAATGTCATCCATAAGCCCAAGGGGTAGGTCCTAGAAGCCAAACGGAGAAGGACAGAGAGTACAGCTCAGCCTCCCTGCCCCAGGGCTACAGGGTTGGCGTTTCCATCAGCCGGGGCTGCCCTCCAGTGGCCACAGAGGATATAGGCATGGACTGAAAGTTCAAGAAGGCAGGGGAGCCAGCTCACCTGGTGCACACCTCCTGGCCGGACGTAGGCAGCATGCATCCGAGCCCCAGACACGCGCTCGTAGAATTCAAACATCTTGATAGGACACACTGGGAATTAGTGACAAAGTCCTGGGCCCCTAAGTCCAGCAACATGGTGGTCCACTCCCCTGCCCTCTGCCTTCTTGTACCCAACCAACCCCTCATGACACAGAGTTCCTCAAGGACAGAACCCAAGTTAAATATACCTTCTTCCTCTACGTGTTCTTTGTTCTGTCTCCTTTCCATCCCTTGGCTCCTTCCTACCTTCACCACTTCCTGTACCTCCCTGCCTAGCCTATCCTTTCCTCCTTCTCTTACCTTCTCCCTCTCTTCAAACATCCAGAAGAAAGGGGTCATAGCCCCAATGTCCAGGGCATGTGTGGTCACAGCCATAATGTGGTTCAAAAGCCGTGTGATTTCTCCAAACAGCACTGTAGAGACAGGAAGACAGCGAGAGGATCGACAGCGAGTGGACACAGCAGTTGTGGGCAGCGTCTAGGGTCTGCAAACTAAGCCTGGGTTGGATGCTCCCACGACGGGAATGGTGCGGGAGGGGCACTAGGCCGCGCTCACAGCGGGGCCACAGGAAGGAGACGGGCATACCTCGGATCCACTGTGCCCGGGGCGGAGGCTGGATATTGAGTAACTTCTCCACAGCCAGTGAGTAGGCCTGCTCATTACACATCATGGACACATAGTCTAGCCGGTCAAAGTATGGAAGAGCCTGGGAAGAAGGAAGAACCTGGGTCACACCTGACAGGCCAGGAGCCCTCAGACTGCCTGCCAAAAACCACTGCTCTCAGTGGGCATCAAAAGTCAACGCTGCATTAGCCTTCTAGTCTCAGGAGCTAAACAAGGCAGTACCCGATATCCAGTAGCATGCTGGTAAATGTTTCTTTAAAAGTCAAATCTCTGAAGGGGTGATTTGTTGCGTGTGCCCATTTCCACGGTGAAAATACTCCAGCAGGGCCAGCTTTAAGCTACCAACGTTACATAACTGAGCACAGCACTGGGCAGGGGAGCACAGTCTCTGCCATGCAGAGACAATACAATCACTTAGGAGCACAGAGGAGTCAAATAAGAAAATGATGAGCTTTGAGTACTTCTTACCCTGGCTTTTGATATAATTTATTAAATCGTAAGCCAAGGGGCGCCTGGGTGGCTCAGTCGGCTAAGCGGCCGACTACGGCTCAGGTCACGATCTCACGGTCCGTGAATTCGAGCCCCGCGTCGGGCTCTGTGCTGACAGCTCAGAGCCTGGAGCCTGTTTCTTTTTCTTTAATTTTTT